ACACCAGCACTGCAATTAAACCTGAAGGTTTAGGTTTTAGTTTAGAAAAAATAACGCATACACTTGGCTCACACGTTGACAGAGAGGGCTCTGCATGCCTACGCGGCACACGTGCTATAGCTTCATTACCACTGCCCTAGCATAATGTTCTCCTGCTCTGCTTCCTAGCCACGATGAACTAAGTGTCTTTGCTCTGCTATACCCTTCCACCTCAGAGCCAGCTTACCATAGACTGAATCCCCTAAAACTGTGAGCCAAATAAACCTCTTCTCCTTTAAATTGCAGGTGTCAGGTGTTTTTTCCAGCATTAGGAAAGCTGACCAATACAGGGGTTTAAGGCTTCAACATATGAATGTGGGGGGGATAATTCATTGCATAGCATTTCAACTCCCCCACCAAATGTTTACCCATTCTCATATCCAGTCAATCATTAGGTCTCGTACTTGAAGCGCCTCTATATGTCTCTTCTCAACCACATCTCCTCAATCTAATTGTCAAATAGATCTTCCCTCTTCTTGCCCATTCCCTCAGGTTATTCCATGATGGTGTGTTACAATCACAAAAAGAACAATCACTCTAACACACACCTCTTATCATATTACTTCTCTAATAAAAGTTTTTCCTGCAGGACCAGACACCTTAACACACTAACCTGTGGCACCTTTCACTTTCATCTCCCGCAGACTTCCACAGTTCAGATCCACAGAACTATCACAAGTTCGGGAATGCATGAAATCTTTCCCCACCAAAGCTTTTGCTTATGTTGTACCTTCTGTTGCGAAAGTCCTCGTTTTTGGCCTTTTCATACTTCATGGACCCAATCAAGGATCCTCTTGTTGTGCAGCCTTCTAAAACATCCCACTTAGGGCCAGGGATGCAGCTTAGCAGCGCCACACCTGTCTAGCAAGTGCAAAGTCCTGAGTTCAGTTCCCAGTACAAATAAATAAACAAACAAACAAACAAATAATCAAGTAAATAAATAAATAAATAAATAAATCCATGCCACCCAAAGCCAAATGTGTAGCTCCCTATTTATATTACTATTGTCACTGAGTCCGTCACTCATTGAGTTGTGTGGTAATAATACCTGGGGTATTTCTTAATCATCTCCCCAATGGATCAAAGTTGCTTTTGACTAGGGGCTGTTACGGTTTAGATCTAAAACACCCTCCAAAGCCTCACGTACTCACAAGATGATTGGCTCATGGGGCACTGGCTTCACTGACTGGTGAGCTCAGCAGCTGAGTGTGCTGTTGGAAGGTGGGGACTGGTCAGAAGAGGTAAATCCCTAGGGGTGTGCTCTGGAAGGGAGTAGGCTCTTGTTTTCATTCTATCTGCTTCCTGAGAGCCATGAAGCACACGGTTTTCCTTTTCCAGGTCTTTCCACTATGCTGTTTCTGCTTTGGATTTGGCTGATCATAAACTGAAAACATGAGCCTAAATAAACCTGTCTTCCTTTAAGTTGTGGGTGTTGAGTATTGTGTCTCAGCAAAGAAAAAGTGTCTAAAATGGGCATCCTTTTCTCTTTGTGTTCTCAGTGACTCATTAAACTTGGACTCTTAAAAAATGTTTATGGAATTAGTTGACAAATTGATGAGAACATAAAGATTTGGCTTCTTAGCAGATTCTGCCACTGAACCTATTTTAGAATCTAGGTGTCATGTTTGTTGCAAAGTATACAATCCTTTCTATAAGACCACCATAGGGACAGAGGAAAAATGAACTCCTGTGCCCTTGACCTGTTGCTCATTAAAAGCATGACTTGTATTTTCTGCTGAGGCAGTCAATGAGTTGAATGCAGATTTTGTTAAAACAACAACAGCAACAGCAACAGTGACTCTTCATTTAGGCCTACAGATACCCAGTGGGTAATTAAAAACAGAACAAAGTTTGACCTTCATTTTTGTATCTATGTCTTTCATTACCCTAAAAACTCTGGATCAGATTGCTGCTCTGCTCAGCATATAGGCATGCTAATTATTTAGGGAGTATCTGTCTACAAACTTGCAAAACAATGCTGATCTGTGTTATGCCTTGTATCTAGATGTCTCCAGAAAGCCTCATGCACTCAGAGGTGACACTTTTGAGAAGTGACTGGATCATGGGTGTGTGATACTGGATCATGGGTGTGTGACATTGGATTCACCCACTAATGGGTTTATAGCTGGGTGTAATGTTGGAAGGCGAAGCCTGGTGGGCATAGCCTGGAAGGGTATATATATTCCTCCTTCTCCCTTGATCCCTCCCTGATTCTTGCCTGCCATGCTACCAGCAAGCTTCCTCTGCCATGCTGCCCTGCCTTGGAGCCAGCTGGCTATGGACTGAAATGTCCACAAACTGTGAGCCAAAGAAAACCTTTCCTTCTTTAAATTGTGAATGTTGGGCATTGTGTCCCAGCAATGACACTAAGATAATTTGCCCTTAATTTCCATCTCATTTAATTTCTTCATTTCCACCCCCATTTCTATCTCATCCTCCTCCAAGACTGGGAATATCAAAATAAGAGATTTACAGTGACATCCTACTACAGTTGGCTATCCAAAGACTCCAGTCATTTCCCTGAATCTAGTCAGTCTCTGCACAACTGAGACTGCCATAGTCTATTGGCCATACCACCCTGAACATGCCCAATCTCGCCTGAGACTGCCGTAAGCAAAAACAATGGTCTCATAGAGGCTAGTCTTCCCCCTCGATCAATAAGGGCTTCTCAGAACCATCTTACAAAACTAAGACTGAGATAATGATCAACTGGACTCTAGCCCACCTCAGCCCCTCTATAAAAAGCTGGCCTTATTCCTTTGTTAAAGGGACAAGTCTAGTCTTCTCTATCAGACAGTTAAGTCCCTTTCAGTCCCTCAAGATGAAGTCACTTTCACATTCACTTACTTTCTAACTCCACCCAGTAAACCAGCCTATGTCTCTCACTGACAGGTCCTAAATGCTTTTTCTGCAACAATATGGTGGGTCAAGAACCTGTCCAGGACAATTTGGACAGGTTTGAGATCCCACCCACTTCCTCCACAGGGAGACTTCCTTTGACCCGATCCAACGACGATATTTTATTTCATGCATTCTATATGCCCATTACTATTGTTTATGTATTTATATATTCATCCGTGAACATATCTTTCTAATTTTTATATTTATCAATGTGTTATAGATAAAATTATATTACTTTGAAAGTACCAATTAAAATAAGAATTTTTTTAAAAATTCATATTTATGTGATATTGGTTGGCATTGAGGATTGGCAAACTTTTTGTGTAAAGGTCCAGATAGTAAATATTTTGGACATTATGCACAGTACAGTCATTTTTTCTTTTTCTTGGACTCACACTGTAGCCAAGGCTGGCCTTGAACTCACAGTGATCCTCCTGCCTCAGCCTCCTGCACATTTGGATTATAGGAATGCACCAGTAAAACTTAGAAGTTTTGACTATAAAACTTAAAAGTCTACCCAAAGTGAGAAGGCTAGGTATAGGGAGTGAGTCTGAAAGACTGATGAGACAGGGAGGTTAAAGAGAACTAGGCCAGGGAGATGATGCAAGACTGGAGACTAGAGGCGAGTGTTAGCATATGGTAGTGGGCAATGAACTCACCCTAACATTGAGATGCACCTGCCAGGATAAGTCCAGGTCAAGAAAGCAGGGTGTCCGTTTTGGGTCTTCTGATCACGCAAGAACCTGCAAAGGAAAAGAGTAGGGTGCTCCAGAGAGAGGGGATAAAGAGGTAGGACGAAGGACAGTCAGACTTTGAACAGCCCAGTTCAAGAAAGCATGTGTTTGTGGGAAATGGGCCCTCTGAGCACCCTTAGGGAAGGGGTTGGAAGACTGGAGGAAGGTTAGGTGAGTTAGGGTGGGGGGGGGCTGAAGAACTAAAGGGAAGGGCTGTTTTAAATGTAGTGGGGGGTTTTGTTTGTTTTGGTGCCCGGGATGAAACCCAGGGCTTTGCACATGCTAGGTAGGCCTTCTACCACTGAACTGCAACCCCAGCCCCTGAATTTAGTTTTAAATTAAGATAAACACCTACTCTGTGCTGCAGCCATTGCACTATTAGGATTTACCCAAGAAATATATCCATGTTTGCTCACAGAAAGACATGTATAAAAACGTTTATAACTGCTTGTATATGTATATCAATTTAGTTCAGTTTAAAAATGAGTGTGTAATATATTTTCAGTTAAATGACAAATTTATTACCAGCATAACTACATTAGATGAACTTATAAAAGGTGTACTTCAAGTTGGGGATATCGCTCAGTGGTAGAGCACTTGCCTAGCATGCATGAGACCCTGGGTTCCAGCAATTAACCAATCAATGCGGCATTTCAAGGAAGAGGAAAAATAATCATAATGAGACAAGAAACTGTGAACAAAGAATTTGTAAAAAAACAGTTGCTAAATCTAAATTTTATAAAAACTGCCACTCTAAATATTAATACTTTTAATTTTAATTTGCAAAAGCCAAAAAAACAGGGGACAGAGCTACCATAATATGAACAACTCTAATATGTAAGTAAGGAGGGTACCTGGAGTTAAAGTGGCAAAGCTCCTTGTGTTATTTGGAAGGGAAGTTAAAATATTAACTTTAGAGTTTGATAATTGTGCAGGATAAAATTTCAAGGATAACTTTTTTAAAGTATTCTAATAAAATTTACAGTAATCTCTGTATAATTTAATTCAGGGTATGCTGCATAGGAATCTAATACCCCTAAGGAAAAATAATCCAGGGTTAACTACTAAAGCAAGAAAAGTAAGATGAGCATTGTGATGCATGCCTGTAATCCCAGCACTCTGGGAGACCGAGAAAGGAAGATCCCACAGTCCAGTGTAGCCTGGGCAATTTAGTGACACAGTGAGACACCACCTCAAAATAAAAAATAAAAATAGTCTGGAGTAGAGCTCAGTGTGAAGGTCCCGATGCTACAATCAATCAGTCAATCAAAATAGAGTACACTGGCTCCAAAATATTGAAGACTCTGAGGAATATTTAATGTTCAAGTGAATGTTTATTGTACTCATAAGATGCGGATGATTCAGTTCAGGCTGTTGAAAGATCACCATTTGTTTTCATCTCTGAATCTGAATCTTTTTGCCGTGGTACCTCTACATGGACTGCATCTGAGTGAAAAATAGATACATTTTTAATCATTTCTACATGTTTTTATGATTAGAAAATAAAGTATGGATGTTTTCATATAAAGCTCTGGTCAATGTATAATACTGGAAACTTTTTGAGACCACCTAAAACAGATACTCAGGAACCAGAGGAGCCAACACATCAGCTTCTGAAGGCTAAAGAAAAAAAAAATTAAAACAATATTCTGAGTCAATGGACACTGGTGTCATGATGGTTTCCTACAGGCTTCAGCTACACTCATCCACCTTAGCATCATCTGCTGTGTTTCTTTGTTCTACCTATTTTCTTTGCTTATAATGCCAGACTTCCATCTATACATTCACTTCCCATCATTCAGCACACAGTATCCTGGCTTTGTTTTCTACCTAGGTGTCCCTAAGCCTCTTGTACTCACAGGAGATCTTCAGATCATTGGATCACCCGGCTCACGACGACTTGTGGGTAGAATGTGGGCCTGGTCGGAAGAGGTGGGTCCATGGGCGTGACCTGCAGGGTGCATCTTCCTCCTGGCTTCTTCCTTCTTGCTGTTAGGAGGCGGGTCCTGTTTGGAAGAGATGAGAACCTGGGCAAGGTCTAGAAGGGTATATCTCCTTCCCGGCTCCTCCCTTCTTGCTCTGCTTCCTGGCCACTGTGCTGCTAGCAGCTTTTTCTCTGCCCCGTGCTGAGCTCTGTGCCTTGGAGTTAGCTGACTATGGACTGAACCCTCTAAAAACTGTGAGCTAAAATAAACTCTTCTTTTAAATCGTAGAAGCCAGGTATTGTGTTCCCGCGATCAAAAAGTGACTAAGACAACCCTGAAAACGTCCATCCCTGAACCGTTCCCTCCTTCGAATTCTCATGGTGCTTAGTGCTTCTTCTTTTGTTTTTGGAGCATCTTAGTTTTTGTTTTTGTTTTTTTTTTATTCTGTTGACTATTTTTAAATGTTATCATTCAATTTAGGTATCTGTTTTCTGGTAAGTCATGCCTAAAATCACTAGACTGGACTGCTCAGCTCCAGCACTAATCACACTTGAGTTTGATGAATGAATGAATAAATAAATAAACAGATAAATGGATTGTTGAATAGATATAAGAACCCAGTTGAGCTTTATTCAAATCACCCATTTGGTTAGTGAGCAAATGGCATTTTTTTTTTTTTTGTAACAGGGGTCAAACTCAGGACTTTGTGCTTGCCAAACAGGTGCGGCATCACTGAGATACATCCCTGGTACTCAGCTGAGCTTTAAAAATAGAAGTTTATAGAGATCTGCACCAGGTCTACACAGTTCTGTATCTTTTATGATGCTGAACATGTTAGAATTAGTTTTTCTTATATAAGAGAATGACACTACACAAAAACAATACAAGCTTAAGTATACCTTATGTCCTGGGGTTTGAATGGAAAGATTGGTGGTCTTTATGCACTGATGAGTATAAATTGTGGATTGAGATGCCATTAGGGAAGGAGAATCCATTGGAGTTGGAACCTGTGAATTGGAATGGAAAAGAAATAAATGAAAACTTAGCTTTTAATTGCTCTCCTAATATAATAGCACCAAGAGGACAAGTAAATGTGAAATTCAATGAATATCATCTGTAAGGAATGCTAAATGCCAAATACACAGAAAAAGAGTGCAATAGATCTGTGAAGGAGCTGATAGTGATAAAATATAGGGAAGCAGACCTAAAGAATCATTCTTGTAAATAATGGAAAGGAAGGCCTACAAAGAATTCCTTACAAGAAACAGATCTCTGCCATCTCAAGGCCAATAATCTTCATGAGAAAGAGATGGGAAACCTGCAAGTGGACACAGATTATATTAAGTATATGCTGGTATATATAT